GAAAGTGCACACAACTTTCATTGGTGGTAATGATTTGTGTCGTAGATGTAAGGCCCTGTCTACACTACAAAAGTTAAAGCAGCATTAAGCAATTCTATTGGCTGAAAGTTAGTTTAAGCCAATAGAATTCCTTAAAGCTCCTTTAACTTTTGTAGTGTAGACAAGGCCTAACCGGTCAAGATTTTCTCGACCGGACCGGTAACCAATCGAAAAATTTCTGACCGGATCGGGCCGGCCGGTCATATATTTTCCTAGTGTGTAAGTGTAAAAGCCTAACGAAAGAGGAGTGCTAAGCCTTCAGGAAAAACGTCCATAGCTTCCGAACCATGAATTTCCAAGATGTCGCATAGATCCGGTTTTGTAGAGGACACTTCGGACCATATATGTATGAAAACAAATCCAAAGATTTCTATGCCAGCTTTCAGAAAACCGAACTGTTTTTTCCACAAATTGCTGACCGGATCGGTTGCCGGTACTGGTTACATCTCTGATTTGTGTGATATTCGCAAATTGTATGTAATCACCTACCATACCAGTATATGGAATACATTCGAGAGTGACTCGATCTTTACATTCAACATTGCCGCAAACGTTTGTTAATTCAGTTTTGGTATGAGACGTTTCGTAGGTTATAAAATGTATAACAGTCTCGGTTTCATAATTTATCATCAGTTTAACATAGTCAAGTCACAGGTTTAAATTCTGGTGGCTTTGTTTCTCAAGTATTAAATGAACCAACGTGTCCACGTGCTGCCTATCCGACATCTGCCTATGTAAATTGGTGTAGATTATTCTATACCTCGATATCATCAAACGTTAAAAGATCTGGTTGCAGGTGGGCGGTATGATGCACGCGATGATTTCACCGTTTTTATATAACCATTTTTCTGTGAAACCAAATTACCACGCACGCCTAGATAAACACAATAATCCAACTGATTATTTTGCATCAGATGGTTTTCAGCTTAGTGATGGTGTGTAGCAGCATTTACGAGGTGAAAGAGCACTATTTTTGTTTAATTTTTGTTTTAGGAAAAGCTCATTCTGCGACGTCATTGACTCTGTGGAACAACATGTTAGAGCCAGTTGGACAAAAGTAAACCTTCTGGCATATCGGTAAAGAATTGAAATGTCCAACAGAACAACATCCCTATTTTCTTACATTCGAAAATAGCATGGATGTTATACGCAAACAGAAATAAAGTCATCAACACTAGGAGACTGTGATATCAGCAGTCTCCTCCTCCTCCCGACAAACATTATGTGAACAAGAGAAAACGGTTGCTGTTGTGTGATGGTTCAATCACATGATAAAATTCTGGCCGTAAAGATAACAACGTGATGACTCATTCTATTCCAGAAGAAACTTAATGCTTGTCAGTGGAACCGATTTGTATGTCATGTTTGTATTGATCTTTGTTTATACTTTTAAAAAAAGAGAAAATATTAGTTTATTCATTAATGAATGACATGTTGACATCACAAAACCATCGAAATTTGATAACGATGATAAAATTGATATTTGGTCTCCGATCATCATTATCTGATAAAATTGTTTCAGTAATATATGGAACATTTTATAGTTCCATCTGTCCATATTAATATTTGCATGTTCAAAATTTGTCTAATTGAATTTTATGAACTGAAAATCAGCCTTGATAAATGTAGATGTATTGATAATCATAGAAAAGGCAGAAAAAGAAGGAAGAGAAACTCACGTTGTCATTTTAATCTGTTGGTTTGATTCTGCGATCACAGAACAGATGGATCATTATCATATTTCATTCACTTGAAGAATAAAAAAAATTCCCTATCAAATCAATGTTAAGGGAAATAGTTGATATTAATAATATATGAGAACATATGAGTTCATTTGGTCAGTTTGTATCCATATTCCAAGAAATTATGATCGATGTTCTTCTTCTCAACTAGTCACATTCTTCTATTCAAGTAAAATGGGCAATATTGTTTACTGTTCTTATTTGTTTCGACAACATGAGCAGATTAAAATTAAAAAAAATTTTGTTTTCAGAATAGAAAGTGTTTAAACTTTTCTTTGAAGTTCTAATAAAGGATGTTTGTTAAACAGCAGAAAGAGAGCTTATATGATGTGAAATTAACCATACTAAATCAATAGAAAGACAGAAGAAAGAAAAAACAGAATAACACGACACAAGTTAGTTTTTTTTTTTGTTTTTAATGATCGTATCACCATCAACTGGACAAATTTTTTGAAAGAATCAAAATTAAATGAGCTAAAAAAAACACGCACGCACACTCCAATCAATTCGTCTATTCATTGATACTATAGCAGAGAGAGAACAACAACAAGTGACAGATGAAAGGGTTGAGTGTTAGATGATCTGAAATGTATGTGCGTAAAAATACTGGTCAAGAGCGGACAGGATACAATTAATCACGATACTTTGATTTTGGAGGAAAATTTCATCATCTTCGAAAGTAACTCTAAAGGAACTTTATGATGACTTAAGATAACACTCTTCCATCCTATAAATCAACGAACTAAGACGGATTGGACAATTTATTATTACCAGTCGAGTTTAGATCCTATTAGATAAATATTCTTTGAACGTTGTTCTTAGTATTGCTGGACATCTGGCTTGCTTCTGTATACATAAGCTATTCCAATAAGATGAATTTGAACGTCTTACTGGAACAAAGATCTTAAAGTAAGATAGATGAAAAGTAACAAAACGGATCAAAGAATAACATGAACAGAATAAGACGCGATTTTCTCTAGAGTGAATCAAGGTCCGACTACTTATTTTAGGATCGATTAAAAACTTTTCTCACATTTGTTTCAATCTATTTGTATAAAACCTAAAAACAACTAAGTTTACACTAGAAATATAGTATTAGCATTCCTCGACAATGACAGTTGTCATGAAGATTCAAAATTATGAAAGACTGGCTTGTAATCCAATAATTTCTCAAATAATATTTTTACTTCTTTTCTTTGACATATTTAGAATACCAATCATGTTTTACATATAACTAAATCATTATTGGCTGTCTCTAATCTCGTCTAAACTGCGAGGCACGTCTCTAATCGGTAGAACACTCAAAGTACGAGGTATAAGAAAAAACGTTTCTGAATAAATAACGCATTTTTATCAAATTTTGAAAATACAGCTGAGTTTAGAATAATTGAATTTACAACTGTAGAACTTTTTGAGTACAACTTTTAAAGAAAATAAGATAGAATTTTAACTAAACATATTTTTCTCGAGCTAGAATAAACGAATCGTCTAGCAATAAAGTAACGACGTTTGAAGAATATTTGATCAAACAGAATCTAAATTCGATTGGAAATAACAAATTAACTTACCCACCCTCACCCTTTAGATTTAGAATGTGTATGTTTGCGTTTATTTGATGACTGTTATATTCGCTTTGTAATGCTGTCAGTATTGTTGTTCTCTTTCTTTTCTTTCTTAAAACAAGATTATTCAAATAGATTACTGGTTACACTTCATCATATCTATGTATTATTAAACAAAAGACTTTATAATCAAAATAATAATATATAAATACATAATAGATACAATCTATCGAAGATAGAAAGAAAAAGAAAAAAATGATAAAAAATATCTCTTTTTATCAACTATCTACAGCAAAAGGATGTGAGGTCTATAAAATGATCAGAATTTGCACGTTTTTTCCTTTTTGCAGCACAAGACATGGAAAATCATTTTACGAGCTAATCTTTGGTAAAGCGAGATATGTTTTAATTTGATACTTTTTCTTCTAATAATAATTCTATTTATCGAAATTTTAACACAAATAACATGTAAATTTTTGGCTAAAGAGGGAAAAATAAGAACTCTCGATTGCTGTGCCGTATAATTTATGCTGAACTAATAGAATATGATTGATTGATTCGATTCTTTTTTTTTCTCTTTTATGTAGACTTAGTTCTCTAATCTCATATTCAAACATTATCTTCTTCTAAAATGCTGTTTCTTCATAAAATATGCATCATCAAATGACAACAAAATTCTCGTTGTCCAATCGGAGAATAAATCAGTAATGTAATAAATAATAGAAGAAAAAAAAAGAAGAAAGAAGAAGAAATAAATTAGAGGCAAGTCACGATTAGGGAACACACATCATTTACGCATTTTTTACTCGAAGATCGCCATAATGCACAAACAAGATAAACTGACCACAGTGGTAAAGAAATATTGAGTCACATATATCTACCATTTGATTAGTCAGGATTATTAATTCCTAATTGTAACAAGAAATTAACGTTAATTTCTAATCCTAGTGTCAATAATAATCGAGATCACCATGTTTTAGTTGCTTTCTCTTCGTTTACTGTGTGTATTTCAATGTAAATAAAAAAAACTTTTTTTTGGAAACATACACAGATCAGCACGCGTTAAAACAGTTATTCTTTTTTCTCTTCTGATTCTTATTTCTATAAATTAATAAATATTCATTCAAATTAGACTTTTTGTATTCTCTTCCTTTTTTTCCCAAATGCAATTCTATTACCACCACTCGTATTATTATTGCTGTTTTCTCTCTCTCTCTGGTGGAAGTTGTCAATGGTGAAAGCCATTTTTCTCTTTGTTCACATTAAAAAGTTCTTGTTACAAGTGAAACAAACGCAATATATATCGAACAAAAAAATTGAATTGATATGTGGTGTTTGTTGCGTGTATTTCAGATTTTTTATATATTTTTTCTTTTATTCTTCTTTTCTCTGTCTAAAAATACGGAAGAACACACACTAAACATTTTCATTTTATTTTTCTTTCTCTCTCTTGTTCTAATGCACAAGTGTACTTGGTTTGCCGATGGACGTTCTGGTTTTTCCTATGTGTTTTCTTCTTCATTCTCTCTCTTTTTTCCAGATCTCGATATAAAAAAAAATATATATATATATATATAGTTTTCTCAATTTCTTTTATTTTTCCCCCTGTTCGTTCGATCACGATCACATATTATTTATTATTTGAAGCTAAACGCAAATGATGCCTTCAAGTAATTACATTGCTGCGACTACCGGTAATACGCCTAATACTGCTCAATTCAATCAATTTCAACAAGCACCACAACATTTTACACCGATACAAACAACCAATTTTACCTTAACACCCACTTATCAATTGTCAGCGCCACCCTCAAATCCCACACCTATAATAACCTATCATCGGAAACAATATGTTCAACATCAGCCACCCTCCACATCCCATTATATTTCATCTATTTCTCAGACACCATCACCTACTCTTAATCACACAATATCTTCAAATTATATTTCATCATCCTCGTCACCATCGTCGTCTACAGAAATGAAAGATCATGATGCTGTTAAGTTATTTGTTGGACAAATACCAAGACATTTAGAAGAAAATGATTTAAGACCCGTATTTGAAGAATTTGGTCAAATTTATGAATTAACCATTCTGAAAGATCGATTTACAGGAATGCATAGAGGTTCGTACTGCTGTTTAATGTCACTGTACGCTGTTCTCCTGCGATTTTATTATCTGTCAAGTTTTATAGTCTCAGGAAAAATTAGAACAGAGTACTAAAAAATTGTTGTTAGACAATTCAAATAAAGTCTTTTCCGACTAGAATATTTTAATAATGAGAAATCTTAAAGTCAAGTTTTAGCGAAAGTAGTTTGAAAGAGTTGGTCATATAGTTGGAAAGTCATATTATAAATAAATTTATGAATTTCGCCTTTGCAATTACCATATCAACAAAGATATCTAACTTATTGATCATCATAAGTATCGAACTTTATATGTGAATAAGAAATAGAGAACTGTTTCTTAATTATTAAGAAATACTAATGCTATTTATAGACGCATATGAGAATACTTCAATAAGATCTTGGGTTCTAAGGGTATGACCAATATGATATCATCAACGATAATTTGGACTGAGAGTCTAACTAAAGTATATTGTTTTATATTTTATCTGTTGTTTTCAAAATACTCCTTTTAACAAACTATATGAGGCGTTGAGATACAAAGTTTATATGCGATAACTGCAGCTCATAGACTTTTTCCGGTTTACGTCAATGTGAAGCGCCATGAGTCAAGTTTAATTTAGTAAAATAAGATTACTTAACCAGAATCTTAACTGTTGAAATTAACTAGAAAACCAAGATGTTAGTAATTACCTATATGCACTCAACATTAAACTCAGATGTTAGCAGTTCATCAGCCAAGTGCTATAACGACCGTTTCAGGACATCGAAACTTGGGATGAACTTCGAAGTTGTACGGCAAACTAATTCTAACATATACTGTATCGGACAAAGTGACATAGAAATAAAGAAAGAAAAGAATGCTCCTGACTCAACCGTTCGTGATTGCCAGACACACAGAAAACACTTGGAATACTACAATTTCAAATAATTTCAAAGTACACGTAAGTAATTACTAACATCTTGGTTTTCTAGTCAAGTTTGCCCATGAAATAATTTGAAGCGGTTAAAGATCGTTCGAATGTATTAAATATGGAAACAATCAAATAGTTCATATTTAACGCATTTAAACGGGTTAAATCCCCAAACTTAACGCAGCCGAACGTGATTTCGAAAAAAAAACGATGAAAACTGCGTTCAAACTCATTTAACTTCTGAATTTAACGCGTTAGAGAACTGAATTAACCCATTAAATGTTTTATATTTATCGCGTTCTACCGATCGTTAGCCGTTTCAAATTATTCCATGGATAATTGTCTAAAGATCAGCCATGTATCAGTCATATAACTGGTATGAGAGCATCTAGGAAAATTGTTATAACATGATTATTAAGAATTCTCTCCAGTTGCAGAGCGTCTCATTTTGTAGAGGAATGTTTATGTATTGTAGAATGTCTATGTATTTGCTGGGAGGAAAAACGTTTAAACTTAATTGTGACACAAATATGAGCATTCTGTAATACCATAACTGTGCATGATAACTGATCACCAGTTATATAACTGTTCGTGTCTCTCCTGCAATTCGTTAAAAGAATTTCGCTCTTTTATCCTTTAACTTTTTGTTCAATGCGTATAGATAGATTAAACATTTCGCTACAAAATGAGATGTTTCGCCGGTCAGGATGATTCTTAATAATCGCGTTTTAGCAACTTTTCCAATATCTCAAAAAACAGTCAGAAATAACTGGTACATACCTACTAAAGATCGAATGATTTTGCTTTTTTCTATATGTGCAAAGCTAAAGAGGGAGCATTTGGAAAAAAATTTTCAAAAACAACTACGATACTATTATCACATTTTAGTTTAGAAGAGAAAATACAAGTTAATCTATTTTATTCTGGCAATTTACTGAGAGTATGGAAAAGAGTTCAATGTGCTCAATAATGAAAAGGCTTTCTTCGCATTTATTTTTTGTTTAGAAAAACGTATCGAATATAAAAAAAACGATGTTTGCAAGAATCGTCTTATACTTTTTTTCGCTGTAGAAGAAGCAACGTATTTAGCTTATTCCAGGGCATCGTTTCTTAGTACGGCTGTCACACATGTAATTTGAACGAGAAAAAGCCAGTGCTGCCATCTACAACCGTTCAGTTTAGTTATAAAGAATATACAGTTATTCTCTATTCACATTTCCATTATTTCGGTACAATCGGAAAATTGGTCAACTGAACGATAGAGAATAACCTGTTTAATCACTATAGTAACATCTGTTCTTGTATTCTAATCGTCATCACATCAAGTAGCACTATAGTTTATTAGAATAAGATGAGATGAGATCAATTTGTTATTTATTGTTCTTTTTGAGAATGTTAGAAGATTAAAAGAATTGACATAGAAGCCGTAGATATAACGCTCATCTGAATCAGCAAATTTCGATTAACTTCGCTATTAGAATTAAAATGAACACTCTGAACTTCACGGCATATATCTTCATGACAAAAGAGGCTTTACTCTCGATTCGTCCCTAATTGCTCACTCTCACTTTTGAAATCATCTTTGATGTTGTTTGATCGTACAAAGCTAGTTAGGGATGAATCGAGAGGACATCCAAGAGACTGGTGTTTCTGGAGAGTGTGGTGATCGAACTCAATTATCGTTTAATGTCTAAATCATGCTAGTGCTTTCGAGTAAGTGGTACGAATAGTCGAGCCATCAGTATTATAGATAAAACATGCGTTACATACACATAGATAAATAAAGTTTTTTGAAACTCATGCCGTATCATGACTGATCTCATCCTAGATACGGAGAGTATCATCACATACAGCGGCGTTCAGCACATGATACATTTAAGATGCAGTGCCTCAAAAACACTAAATGGCACACTTAAGGCTAGAAAGTGAAGGGTGGTACAAATACCTCAAATAATCAGATAGAAATGGATGTGATGATCATGTGTATTCATACTTAAACTGTATACTTAAAATGATCAACATTGTTATTTTATTCATATTAAATAATCCGTAGTTTTCTTTTCATGTAAAATTTTAAAAAAGTCGTTTCTGATTGACCTTAAGTATACACCACTACGTATATCAGTACGTATGCGTGCGCGCGCCATATGAGAAGAACATCTGTATAGCGGATAGAAAAAACAAAATAAAACAAGAGCATAGAACATAAAAGATATAATTGTCAAACATGTTCAATACTGTCACGAAAACAGCAATCGAATCTCTTTGTTTTCGTTGTAAATAGTACGTATTTCAAGGTGACTATATAAAGAGAGAAAGAGAGAGAGAGAGAACGAAAAAAGAGAAAAAGAAGGATCAACGTTATGCCATGTTCATATACAGGTCCATTCATTTGAAAGTATATTGTACGGCAGATGGTCAAACACACTCGCACACACAAATTTGAATCAAAACGAAATAAAAGAGAGGGGACTTTTTAATTGATCTCGTGCCAAGCAGTTTTTCTTTTTATCTATAAATAAATACAGTTGACTAAGTTAGTTTATTTTTTCCACTTCTCATCATCATTTCTGATTCGGAGAAAGAAAAATTTCACGATTAAAATAAAATAAACGTTTCGGCACGAGTTGAAATTGATTTAAAATGCTTGTACCAATTATGGATACGTTAGGTAAGTTGATCTAAGATTATGTATGCTGAAATTCTTTCAAATAATTTTTTTCATTTCCGATTTATTTCAAAAACAAACATATCATATGGAAAGGAGCGATAAATGTATGTTTCTCCTACCTAAAGTGAAATTATACAAATGTATCTTTTTACCTTGTTATCTACAACCAACTAGATTGTAAATCGATCTGTTGAAAGTATTTTCTCTGGAACCTTATTCAATCGGTCACCTACGACTAGGCTAAGAGGTTAATCGCAGTGGGCTACAGTTCAAACTGTCTATTCCTAAATTCTTCTTTTTTACTTTGGACTATTCGAGCAGAGCTCGAAATTTGCCGTGGAGACTGGAAAACTTAGAGAACTATCTTGTTACTGTGTATCGTTTTTCTGAGCGGTGTTAGCGGCCCTAATAACCATGAAGTACTTACGAAATTATATTCGAATATAAGATGTTAGGATTCAGAGACGGGCAACTCTAGGAAAAGTTGCGGTTGGCAATGTTGAAGTTCACTGGATTTTGGATGAAGTTATGCAAACTTTATCGGAGTTAGACTGCGTATGTAGACAATATCGTCACTGATACATTTAAACTGCAGCGATTGCTATGAAGTTCTACCAAGAGTTGAAGTGATTACTAACGAAAATAAAATCTTAGTTGTCCATCTCGATTAGAATTGATGTATGTCAAGCACTCTATATGAGATTTTTTGAAAATGTCTGGTTTTCTATGGAGTGTTGTCATCTTTATTATAGTATCAGTCCTATTCTATATTGAACTACTTGACTATGAGTAAATTTAAATAGCAAATGGCATACTTCTGTATCTGTCCGGAAGGATATATGATATAGTAAAGCTGATAACATATATACAGTAGTAATACAAGACGAACAGATGGTGAGAAATAAAATTTAAGAGTCAAATAATAATTATGATAGCTCATGGTAGAAAAAAACAAAAAGCTTTTGTACTAAATTAAATTTACACATTTCTTGCCACAATGAGTTTCTTTTATCCAGATTGTAAAATCAATTTTAAGCAATTTTTGGAATATTCTTGAAATGCTAAAGTCATTTTACATCTACATTATGGTTTCTTTTATATTATCTGACATTTTCTTTCTGCCATCTCTGTTCGTAAAACAAGAGTTTTTAATCTTTTATTAATAGTAAAAATACTAGTTTCCTTCATAGATTGTATCTTCTAGTTGATTAGCAGGTTAAATTTTCTTTTTTGTTTTGTTTCAGGTTGTGCATTTCTTACCTATTGTCATCGTGAGAGTGCTCAAAAGGCTCAACAAGCATTACACGAAAGACGAACGTTACCAGGAGTAAGTACACAGTTTCTAATCGTTTTATAACTTTATAAAAAGTAAAAAGAATATAGAAAGTGTACATAATTGAAGATGTTAAATTTATAATCTGTTTTAAGTCGAACCTTGTCAGTGAAACTAGACTCACTGTATCATTTAGTTTAATTAATAATAGAGTATTTGTTTTTTGTCTATAAACGGGGGGGGGGGGGGTTTTTTTAAAAATTTTGAATTTTTTTGTGGGTGAAAGGTTAAATTTTTTAAAAATGGTTTGGTTTGCGTATTTTACCGGTTTTTATTAAAAAATNCCCCCCCCCCCCCCCCCCCCCCCCCCCCCCCCGCCCCCCCCCCCCCCCCCCCCCCCCCCCCCCCGAGTATTGCTATAATTTGCATAGTATTAGAGGTTCAATCTGAAAATTTTTTCAACAGTGTTCGGTTTCGATATTTTCACGATAGTATTGAAAAAAGTTTTGTTTTAACAATAGACTTTTCCCATTTGATTATATATTTTTTATGAAAAGAATATACAACTGCATCTAAGAGGTTTTTCTTTTATATAAAAAGAAAAAGCGAACCGAGAAATAAATAAAGCTCCTCTTTTCAAACTAGAAAAGAGAAGAAGTGGATAGATTGCTAATATTGAGTATCATAGACTGACTGACAAGGCTATCCATAAACAACGTAGATTGATTTAAACAATAAGTGAATATGTGTGAATGTGAACAAAACATAGGAAGGGAAAAAAAAAGAAAAAAAAAATTCATTTTCAATTTTTTCTTTTTTCATATTCATAACGTGTTTCCGTTTCCTTTTTTGTGACTTTTTATTCTCAAGTTTACCATTCATACTACGTACGAGTTTATGAGACAATAATAGAGAGAACAAGAAAAAACAGACATGTAACAAGAAATTTCTAACGCGATCCAATTCTTTTTTTGTTGAAAAGGAAAAATAATCTATCTATATATCTCTATATAAGAAAGAAGATTCAATTCTTCATTCGAGTTGTTAATGAAAAAATATGAAAAGAAAATATCGTGATAGTGTTGACACTTTACCAATATCGACATTAGTACATCATAATACACAACAAGTAGGTGCTACGATAAGTTTTGCTAAAAACAAATTTGAATTTCATTTGAAATTCTCTCATTGGTAAATTTATAAAAAATAGTTTTGATGTTTCTCGTGTGTATATATTTATAAATATATATGCGTTTTTTTTTTTATTTTATTAATCGATCACAACTAGAGAGACGATTGAATTTCAAAAATGTGCTTTAAGTTTCGTTGTTGTATAATTTTAATAGTCAATGTTCTACAAAAAGTAATAAAAATTGATTAAATGTTTAAAAATAACAACTGTCCTGTTTTTTAACCACAATCAAATATAATTATATCTGTATTTAAAATATGGGCTGTCATACACATTATCCAGCATTGTTTAAATGAAGAGAATATTTCTTGTCATGTCTAATAGACTCTATGATACGATGTATGCAAAAATTTATTTCGTGCTTATCTTGTCGACTTCTAACGTTCGTGATATTGATTTCAAAAAAAAACAAACATTACAAAAAGTATAGATAAAATAATAGGGTAAAAAAGCAATGTTTCTCCTGTAATCGTCTGTGTGCATGAATTATCAATTCATTTCCCGTTTCCCGTTTTGTTTTTTCTGTCGAGAACTACCCTCCTTCAGGCGAAGAATGCTTTGTATGACATACTGATATTAATAAGCTATTTCAGTACACGTATATGATTTTCTTCTCTTTTTTTTTTTTCTTTCTATTAAAATTTTTTTTTTAATACTCATACAATTAATTTGATCCGCTTATCAGATGACTCTAATTATATGCACAAGTAAATAATCAAACGCAGATGGAGAACAGTAACACTAGACGGGTATCTACAGTGAAAATATTCCATTTAGAATAATTCTATAATGTTGATAATAGGAGAAATATTGTTTGTCTAAAAGAACTCGAGATCATTCCCACATAATGAAAATATATTTAGAATCACTAGTCTTTTCAAGAAAAAATAATCGGATAATATATTTTATAGTTTTTCTTCAAATAAATGGTGTAAGAATGCATTTAACTTTATATTTGTCACTAGTCAATTAGACGAATATCGAAACTTCTAAGTCATCTAAATCTTCTCACTGTTTTGTTTCTCAGAATTGTTTCATTCTTCATCTAAATATGGTACTTTTTCACATCGGATAAGAGCAGTTAAGATTTCTTCTATTACCATCAGCATCATTTACTCATTCTTTGCCGAATAAACCTACATTATAAACTGAAATAAATTTGAATAATGAAAACAAATGAAATAATTCACATTGATAGTGCACAGATAATAAAGATTTTCAAAATTAGAATCCGTTTGTTTAAATGTATAAAACTACTATTATCTTCATTTTACTCTACAACTAGATCGTGTTATGATACACTGAAATGTGTCGATTTTGTCTTAATAAGTCGTGAATCTCTTTCAATCTAGAAGAAATCTTTCATGTTTTTATTGTACTAGTGAAGATTATTATGATAGATTATATTTTGTGATAAATAATGAATTTTGTTATATTATTTGAACCAATGATAAAATTATAATGTATTACTCATATCATTTACCATTGGATTCTGTGCGTGAGTAATACTCGAATAAATAAAATAAAATTAAAAGGACAAGTGAGTTGCAGTTCATGTAATACAACATAATATATGCCATGCTGTATTTTCAAAAATGAGTTAATTAAAAAAGATTTTTTTTTGCTTTTATCCTTCTTAATGATTGGCTATGCAAGTAAAAAAGGATTAGTAGTCAGTAACTAAATGTCCTAGGAATATTATAATATAAAAGATTTTTATTTTCCTGTTCTTCTTCTTCTTCAACTTTCATCGGGTTTAACGTATGTTTTCTGTTTCTATAATGGTTGCACAGTGGAAGAATAGAGGCATGTAATAGAAGACTAAAAAACAACGTATGCACCAATTAAAAATGTGAGAATAAACCGTTGATAACTGTACAATGTCAAATTCAATAGCTCATTATCTTGAACTGTAGTATAGATATGATGAAATTCAGTATCTAAATGTTTTTTTTTTTTGTTGACCATCTAAAAAAGCAGAAGGAACACAATCATAATAAAGCAACAATTACGATAGAAAAAAATAGAAAAATTTTGATCGCATGATAACACAATATTTTCTTCCTTCTCTAATGCAGATCTACTCTACAGATTAATTTTAGTATACATTGCGAAAAGCGTTTCGGCAGCAGAGTATCATCAAACATTTTTATTGTCTTGGATTTTATATATTTTTTATTTATTTTTTTCTTCTATTTTTAGATGAGTCGTCCAATTCAAGTTAAACCAGCGGACAGCGAAAGTCGAACAGGCAAGTAATAGTATATTTTCTATGATATCACACAATGATTGGTTATATATTTTTGTTTTTTCTGTTCTTTTTTTTCGTACATATGCATCTGGTGCATATCGTGAAAGTATAACATTGGTTATTTTTAACTTTTTATGCATCGGTTCCGTTACATATTGGTTGATGATCTTATGGTATTGAGAATGAATAATTTATATAGTTCATCTGTATCGTCTAGTGACTTATTTTTTGAAGATATCAGGAATTTTTTACTATGAGATCAAGATTTGCCGTTTGCTTATCTATCTTTTCATAAATACAACGCCTATTTTTCTATATGAGAATAGACAATTTTTTTTTTCTTCACAATGCGTTGAAGTGAACGTTGTAATTATAGAAAAAAGTATTTTTTTTTTTTTTTTTTTTTACAAAATGTGAATTATGGCAATTCAGCATGTATCCAAAGAAATACTATCTGTCCCACTTGAAAACCATCATCATTCTCTTTTTCTTCTTCATATTCATCATCCATTTCTCTGAGATATATAATTTAGTTTGTCATACATATAGTCTAAAGCTAGATTGCGCTTTATTGTACTCATATACAACATAAAAAGAAAAGAATTTTTTTTATTCCTTAGGAAATTAACAATGTATTGTTGATGACAAAAAACGGAAATAAGTCAACTATAGAATACAATGATGTAAAAATTCACTTCTCGCACTTTAGAAAACAAAACATTTCTCCGAACTCTCGAAAAGGTTTTTTCTTAATTCATGTAACTATAAAGAAAGAAAGAATATGATTGATGTTAAAATTTTTATAAATAAATATACCCATGTTAATGAAGTTATATAAGACACACATACATCACGTTATGGTAGGCGGTTAGTTTAAAAATACTTTGATACGTAGACAAATAGGATCATAATAACCGTATAGAAAGCATGTATTTTTTTAATATTTCTATTTAAACAAAATTTTTATGTTGAGTAAACTCTATAAATCTTATTATTTAATTAGTCTGTTAATGTATAGCATCCAATAATTGGATGGTACTTTTGATAAAATTTTAATTTTACTGTTTAGCATGATCATACTATTTCATACCGTGAGTTACATGTATTTTTGGTTAATATGTGATTATGTGTTCGATGTTTTGTTCTTTGGATCTAACAAAATGTGTGATCGGCTATAAAGTGGTTTGTGTGTGTGTGTGCGTGTGTGTGTGTGTGTGTGTGTGTGTGCGCGCGTGTGTGTGTGTGTGTGTGTGTTTACGACTATATCCTTAATGTCGTCTATATTCGTCTCATCAATGTATAGTATCCGTAGTATGAGTTCTATCGGACACCGAAGGTGATATTTGATTTTGTAAAAATAATCTTCTATTTTGTTGCTATATTATGATGAGTGAAATTAAAATGATTAAGTTTGATTTTGTTTTGTCTATGTTTGTATTGTATGTTCTTCTGAATTGTCTGTAAAAGAAGCATTGTTTCCAAGAATCATCAATAAGTGCGTGCTTTAAAAGATGAAACTTCTAGATAGAAGTAGGATGTTTTTTGTCGTGTATCGTAATGTATACTGCTTGTATGTATTACGAGGAGCTGAATTAATATGACACAAAGTAAAAAATGTATACAAGTTAAGTTTAATAATCATTTTAACCTAAATAGCTGTATCGTTAAAATTGTGTTTTAGTTTGACATGTCCTACTTTGAAAAATAAAAAGATAGAATAGTGAATAGAAAGACATCAAGAAATAGATCAAATTGTCCTATATAAAGCACACAATTTTTCTGGATTTACTCTAACGTTCTTGTTACAGTGCTCTCTTCTGGTGTCCAAATGAATTCATCAAATAAATTATTCATTTGTATGTGAGCATTTATTAGTAACGCGTGTTTTTATTCAGAAAAGAAAAACGGTCGGCTTTACTTTTATTTTTTTTTCTGTAAAAAAATATAATAGAGACATCATTTCTGTGAACTCTACAAAAAACAGAATTCATTAATATTTAATAAATTCACGTTGGCCATTAATTTAATGGATCTCTATTTCCGACATACACAGGTGAAAATTCATAGACATCAGGTAGTAAATTCACCTTACGGCCATTGTGTGCAATCAACGACGGCAGCGAATAATAACGAATTACTTTTCTTCTTCTTCTTCTTCTTCTTCTTCGTTGAGAGAGAGAACGAGTAAAAAGAGTTTTAAAGTAGTTCGTCCAATCACGGTGAGCTATATTATATTTTAAGATATGTCTTCTTTTTCTTTTACAAAAAAGATGACAATCACTTCTTCGTTTCTTATTATTTTTTTTTTTTGGTCTCACTTTAATAGACAGTTAGAAAAACTTGACCCATTTAGGTATATGGTTATAACGTTTCTGTATTTATCTATACTAAATATTGGGCATAGAAATTTTTTTCTGTTTTTGTTGTTCAAACAAAAAGCAGCATAGAAGAAAAAATATATATCTCTTATTTCTTTCTCTTTTTTTCGTGATCAACAAAAAGAAAAAAGAAGAGAATATACTACAGTATCTGTGTGTGTTGCTCTTTCAGATAGTCCTCTTTTTTTTTTAATTCTCTCTCTTCGTTTCTTCTTCTTACATCTATAAAAAAGAAAATAATTGCTCAAAACACTACAGTTCGCACGATGGTAGCTAATAATATTAATACAAACAGAGTAAGAAACCTAGGTAAGTTAGTTTATCTGTCGTTTAGGGAACAAGTATTATCAATTTCTGTAGTATGTTATAACCCACTCTTTTTTTTTAAAACAAAAAGGTTTTATAAACAATAATGTATTGGGTTGTGTGTGTGTATTGAATATCGAAGGTAATCAGTTAGTTTACACGTTGTAGAAAAAAGATAAAACGATCATAGTTAATTTAGAGTAGTTCTAGCACAATGTATCTCATATCTTTCAACTATTTTATGCAGTTGAACAAGTCTTCTAATTTTAAAATAACATTATTCATTCAATCTCAACATTTTCTATCATTTGAGAGGAAAACGGGAAGAACAACTAGATATCTATCATAGAAATTCAAATATTTTTATGAAAAACTTGACGCGAAATGAAGTAAGAGAAGATTTTAAATTTGTCAATTTTCTGTTGCTTTTGTTCTGTTTAAAATGAAATTAGAGTTGATTTTACTTTTATATTAAGAATAGATTCATTTCCGCATGAACAATATTTGTTTTCTTTTGTTCATGCTCAACTACACGCACTATTGCATGTTTTCGATGCAACAATATATCGATCGATTTATCGCTTCGAAACTCAGAAAAAAAAAAGTTTTATATTGTTCAAAAAAATAAAATGATAATAATATGATTTTTTTTTTTTCGTTGTTGTTAAAAGTTCTATATGAACAATATGTTCATCTATTTATTCCTTTTTCCTTCATCACATATCACTTGAAGTATTTTATTCTCTTGAGCTTCATATTTCTTGCACGAAATATAATGAATCATTTAGAATAAGAAATTGACCATAATTAATCATAGAAGAATATATATTCAGTTGGATGAGTCTTTATTATAAGAGTCTAGGCCTTACGCAGCTTATATTCGTACGTGTCAAAGAAGCCCCAAATGCCGTTCATTTTTCTTAATGAGGTACGAGTTTATTGAAAAAATAGAGTATTGAATGCCTTCAAGGCACGTGTTGAGTAAGTCAATTATATATACAGTCTTCCTGTTTTTTAACAAAAAAAAAGAAAGAAGATTTTGAAACATTTTTTTTTGTTCTTCTTCTGTACAGCACTCAATACGGTAGTCCATATCTGTTTTTCTTTTCATATTAATTGATTCCATTTGATTAAACGAATGTGTATGAGAAAGGGATTATATTTTATCTTGAATTGTTTGAACGTGTGTCAAATCCAGATGAAACATTCATTCAAGCTGAATATTGAACTGTGCTCTTGAAAAAAAAGAAAACTCATTAATAGAATTCATACATGCGATTATGAGAACGACAATAATAATAGAACAGATGAAGGTTCCATTTTATATTTCTTTATTCCCGTTGTGAAGCATGTCATATGTCACGATGAATAATTAAAATTTGTATGTATGTATGTAGACGTATTTGAAAAGAGAAAAAAAGAACTCTCATTGCCGGATCTTTAAATATCCGTTACGTTTACTGCACACGTCGTAGTCAATAATCATAGGACTAATGCATATATCTGCCTTGTTACTTCCTGCGTGCGCATGTGATGATCATCTTTCTTTTTTTAACTTTCTCTAGATATCTGTTGTAACTATTGTACTACTGTATAAAATATAAACGCTTTCAACGGTGTATGTAAGTGTCAAAAAAAGATATAGAGAGGAGAAGAAGAACGTGTGTTTGTGTGGAATGCAAAAATAGAAAAAGGTTTTCGGATCACAAAGTAAATATAGACATTTGAATGTCCGGTAATAATTAGATATATCTACTTTTCAAAGAATATGACATATTAAAATTGTACGTTTTTTTTTTGTCGTGTTTTTTAGAAGATCGCAAATTATTTGTTGGTATGTTAAATAAACAAATGACAGAAGAAAACGTTCGAAGTATATTTGAGCCATATGGAACAATTGAAGAATGCACAATTCTTCGTGGACCAAGTGGCGATAGCAAAGGTAGGTAGTAATTATATGAAATTCACACTTATTCTAAGTTGTTTGATTCATGAAATTATTCACACTCTTTGTTTGTGTGTGTGTCTATGTACAGGTTGCGCATTTGTCAAATATAGTACACATAATGAAGCTCAACAAGCTATTCAACACGTTCATGGTAGCCAAACATTTTCTGGTGCATCATCGAGTATAGTTGTGAAATTTGCTGATACGGAAAAAGAACGTCAACTACGTCGAATGCAGCAATTAGCTGGACCACTTGGCTTGTTATCTAATCCGTTGGTATTACAGCAAATTGCAGCTAATTTGAACTATCAAGGCTATACACAGGTACAGAATAGTCTCAAATATATCTCTTGGCTATTTCGGTTATTCTTATTGTACATATTTTTAAGATTGCTGCACAACAACAAGCTGCAGCCATGTTGGCCACATCAGCCGGAACACATCAAACATACACGATTCCTGTACTGACGACTGCATCTGGTCAGTTGACAAATGGCGCAATGACACCGTCAACAGGTATGCGAAATTGCTTTAAGTTTACTTTCACTTTTTTAAACTCTGTTCGTCCATCAGTTAATGCATCACCAGTCAATAATGGTCCACCTACAATAATTTCTCCTGCAGCTTTCCAAACAGCCGTTCAAGGCCACAATGGTCAAGGCGATATATTCTCATCGGGAATGCAATATCCAAGTATGTTAATGACTATATCTAAATAATAAAACATTAAACTATTTTGTTTTTTTATTCTCAACAGTGCAAGCTATTGACACAGCAACTGGTTTGCAATTACAACAGGCTACTTATACAACATTGCCAACACAATATGCACCAATTTATACTCCTACAGCTATTTATAGCCATTTGGCACCAACGCCAACAGTCATTCCAGGAACATTGGGTTCACAAAAAGAAGGTATACTAAATATAGTTACAGGAAAACATAAAAGGCAGTAGTATAATTTTTTCGTGCGATACTATATGTGTGTGAGGGAATAAAAAAAGGTGTTTAGCGAAAGAAAATTTGCATCTCCGTCCTTTTTAGTTTTCTTTACAGGACCCGAAAATTCCAATCTTTTTATATATCATCTACCTCAAGAATTTGGCGACGCCGAATTGGCTCAAATGTTTATGCCTTTCGGCAATGTTATAAGTGCAAAAGTGTACGTCGATCGAGCAACAAATCAGAGTAAATGTTTCGGTACGGTTGGTGTGATCGGTTCAAAATTCAATGATTTGATTAAAAAAACAATATTTGTTCGTGATTTTGCTTTTGAGGCTCCATCCTGTACGCTTTAGGTGTGTGAACTAGAGGTGGGCAGGATTAAACTTTTTTGGCCTCGGTCTTGCGGTTCCATTCTGTCAAGTAAAAGAAACAAAAACTAAAAATAGGCCTCATTTTTCGAAAAAGTTTGTGAAAAAATAAAACTTTCTAGAAAAAGAAAAAGTCTTCATTTTAACTGTCAGAACTAAACAGCGGAATAAAAAACATCGCTTAATCTCAATCCCGTGAAAAGTCCTGCTAGACCAAGACAATTCCGCTTACCTCTAGTGTGAATGTAACTTACGCTAAAAAAATTTAAAATAACTTGTCCTACTTTAGCTTTATCTATTCCAGAAAGTAACACGCACCCATAAAACTTAATTCAATTACAAGAGTAAAAAAAACATGAAAATTATCTCCTTGCCAGATAACAGAGAAAGTTGTTCATAAAATAGAGTGATTTTTCTCCAAAATCAAACCATATAAAGATTAGACAGTATATACTTTATATTTTGGTTTTTTTGAGCTTAAAGTCTTATTATAAAATTTCTAATGGTTCATTTATTAAATAACATTGTGTTTCCGACCGATCAAATCATATATACATATATATTCATGGTGAAAATACTCGACTATCTCGATGAAGTCTCAAAAGCAAAAACAGCAACAAATTTATTGGATCGGTCATCTCAATTTCAAGTGGTGTTAAGTGTAAACTATCTTTCGGATTTGCGTCAAACGTATACTATTGAGGCTGAAATTCAAACAAATTTAATAACATATAAACGATACGGTTACTTTCTATGCACTTTGCCAGACCATATGACCCACACACTTGATGTTGTGATGTGACAATCCAAAAGTTGTTTTTTTTTCAACTTTTTTTTTATTTGTAAATCAGTTTATGTTGTGACGTATTATTTATTACCTATTGCAGGTTTTGTTAGTTATGATAATCCATCGTGTGCTCAATCAGCAATACAATCAATGAATGGTTTTCAAATTGGCATGAAACGTTTAAAAGTTCAATTAAAACGTCCAAAAGATATGGCTAAACCTTATTAATTCATTATATAGTAGTTAAGAAAAATCAAACAGTGCAATAAGACTAGTCATGGTATGTACAGCTGAAAGTGTTTGACACACTAATTATTAAAGTTCCTTCCTTTAGTCTAAACCTACATACACACACATATACACACAAATTTCTCCTTTTCGAAACGAAATACATTACAGTCAGATGTAATTATCATACATATATATTCTGTTGTTTCTGTCTCTCCATGCTGACACTGTTGTAAAATTAAATTTCATGTAGTATTTGAAAGAGAATTAAGAATAGACGATATCAACGTAATTTTTGAATATCAAAACATTCTCGAGTTAAAGATTAAATGTTCTTAGAAATTTAAAAAATTTCTCTAGTGTCAATCAAGCAAATCCTCCTTTAACTTTTGATGTAGGATAAAATATTACAAAAATAATACAAAATATTAAGGATGATAGTTATATTTTGTCAAGTGGCGTTCTTTTTGTTTTGTTTCGTTCTAATTTTGATCATCGTGCTCATGTTCGGTACAAAGCGTCAATGTGCCTTTTGTAGTGATGTGTGTATATATATATATATGTGTTCAAGGTCAGAAGTAGAAAACTAGCAAATAAGAGAATATCCCTTTTCACATATACATATCTTTCTGTTTTTGTTCTTTTTCTATCTATACGCGGCTGAGACAAAAAAAAATGTTCGCACATGGGATAATCTTATGTAAAAAGAGATATTTCCTTATTTGCTAGATTCCTAATATCTGACATTTCTGAACTATAGTCTACAGTTGAATACAATTTTAGTCAGTAGAATTCTAACTAAGCTATGTAGAATATTCTTTCTACATTTTCTGTTAAAACTTGAATAAAAAATCTTTTATGCGTTTATTCTTTCAATTTTAGATTATAAAATGGTACTCTTTAATCAGATGAAATCAAAACAAAATCATTTCTAATCATACAATAGGACCAAAGTCTTTTTTTTATTTAATCCTCTCTTTTCTCATTTTTTTTTTCTGTTTTCTTTTATTTGAAACTTATGAATTTCGCTATTGCTTTGAAAAATAATCACATTAATTAAACTTGAATCTACAACGAAATTTTATTTGTTTACATCTCTTTTGTTCTATTATTTGTCTATGACAATTTCACTTTCTTTTACGATCATCATTCCATTCTTGGATAGTCAAACAACAGTGTATATGAACAAATAATATTCCGAACTAGTCAACTCCAACAAATAACTCATTCCATTTTGTTCATTTTCATCCGTTGCTTTACAAGATTATTTAAGCAATATAGTCACGATTTGACATTATGTTTTGTTTTGTTTTTATTTGAAAATAATTTATTTCATGAAGTTATTCTAGAATGACGTTTATTTTCTCATTTCTTTTTTCCTCCTTCGCTCTGCTTATTATTATTCTTATTACTCTTATCTTATACTGTTAATAATGCTTTAGATCTTTTTTCTTTTTTTTTTGTTAAAAAAGATTTCTCTTTATTGTACTACAGAGAACACGTTGAGTTTTGGACGTTTTTTGTTTTTTTACAAACTTAAAAAGAGAAGATACTTGGTTTTTTTTCGCTTAGAAAACTTTGTTTTCTTTCTTATTCTTAATAAAAGAACTCAATTAGATGATATTGATATTTATAAATTAAAAATTACTATTAATTTCTATAAGAAGAAGAAAAGTTGCTAGAGAGACTCCCTTCACATGCTATATAATGAATTTTCTTAAATTTAACACTAATTTGTTAGAAAAAGGCATAGTATAATTGTTGCTTTTAGTGAAAATTTATTTAGGTGTTTAATAAAAATAAAATTTTAACTAAGATGATATTGCAAGAGTAACATAATAGATAGAAATAGAACTAGGTAAGCAAGTAAGGAAAATTATCAAAATAAAAAAGCACCATGCTTTCCCAAGAGACAAAAACTTTTAAAATTAATGAAGATGTAATAAATATAGAAATATTAAAATAACATGATAGTCATCAAGCATAAATTCATAATAACACAGGCTACCTTAAGATCAAATAACTTATTGTTAAAAAAAATAATTTGAATTTAACAACTGATGTAAATGATTGTACAAAGAAAGTCAACTATTATTACATTACAAAGACAGAGGATTGCTACAAAACAATGAGTGAAGAACACAAACATCCCAGAATGAGATTAGTAGATAAAAATCAAGTTAACGATGTTAAAATTTAGACACTTTTAAATGTTTGAGATGCATAATGTGGAATTTTTAAAGATGTCGATGACATCGGTTGAGGTACTAATTGATGATGTCGAGATGTTAAATCAGGACTCATATTCAGACCATTATGAGAGACATGTAGATGTTGCACTGTATCCAGATTTAGAGAATCATTGCCAACAGTTAAGTTTGACTCACCATCCACGAATGGTAGTACGACTTCTTTACGTTGTTTTCGACGTTGATCATATTTTGCCTTTCAAAAAAATAATAAATCTAGTAAAATGATTTATGATAGAATGTAGCGTATATATTTGCTCTACACGTCAATGGACAAGTTGATAGGAAACCATAGGACAAATTTTCTTCGAAAAAAAGTTACAAGCGTTTCTGGTACTTTTTGCCTGGGATATTTCAAGACCAAATAAATAGAATTTGAGAAAGAGTTGTTTATCGGAAAATATGTCATTTGTTCATCAAGCCATGTTTACAAATAAAACTTGAATGTAACTGTTAGATATGTCAAACTGATCAGTCGTTGACACTGCCGGCGAAGGTAAACATGTCTTTTGGGGAAGAAATGACCACAGCGAATATTTCGTGAAACGATCAAAAACTGAATGTGTTTTGAAATTTTTGTCTTCCAATGTATCGCTAATTTAGGAATAAAAACGTAAATAATTTCGAATGAGATCAATAGTATATTTGGAATCAGTTTTTATAAGTGTTTAACATTACAGGTAAATCATTTATTCTCAGATCAGTGAATAATCAAATATTTTAGTATTTTCACATAACAGCATCCGATCTTCTTAAATAATCTTTTTGCATACGTATTTCCTTCACTGAAAGAATCTTACAAAAAGAACATAATTACTAATGGCTGACCAAGACTCTTTCCACTCCAACAACGTCTGTTTCTGAGACAAGTAAGCTTGTCAATCGGGATAAAAATAGACCAGATATAGATTATCAATCTCATAGTGACTTAGAATAACATTCATTCATTCTAAAGATTGAAGGATGGAAAAGCCACCACTGATCGGTTAATATGTCTAGTGATGATGGTGTTTTTAAAGGCTTACCTTATTATACATAAAGACGCCAAACAATGCAGTTATCATTCCAATAAGATTTGTGTTTGTTATTGGATTTCTAAATAAGAATAATGAAGCACCAATCACAACAATTCGTTTCGAACTATTGGCTATACTATAAGTGAGCGGTGATACTAATGAAATCATTGTAAATGCCACAACATTATGAATGAAATTTAGGATACCATCAATAAATAAATATGCGATAATTTTTAATGCTGGACGAAATGCATGCTGTAGTAAAGGTAACGAGAAGAAAAAGAAAAATACAACTTGAACATCATTTTTAAGGAAAACTATATAACAACACCTACTCACGTATTGCATATTCTGATACATTTCTCGGGCATCGTACAAAAACCAAATCGGTACAAACATACACGAAGAAATTTTGGCTAAAATAACTAACAATGCTAAATGATGAATCGATATGTCCTTGAGAGACTAAATAGAATAAAAAAACAATTTGAAAACACAATTGTAAGAAATAAGAGTGAGCATACTTTTTTTGAATAAATATTTTGTAATGAAAAGCCAAATGTAGATAGTAGGGCACTGATGAGACCAACCATATTGAAGGATAACTCTGTAGCAGTAGCTATGACAACGCCAATAATAATTGGAATAAGAGATGCATAAATCTAAACGAAAGACAGATTATTAAGCTGATGATTTTATTACGTATTATTAAATACACAAGAAATATTTCTCTTCGAAACTAAGGTAGTTATAGTTGAAGAGATAACTTACCGGAAATGATTGTTTTTCTCCTAGAATAACTCTTGTAAGAATCACAGTGAATAATGGCATGGTTGCTTTGATTGTGTGAGCGTATGAGACAGGTACCTTCCATATTGATACATGTGAAGATAACTGTGCCAAAAATTTTCCTACGGATAACGGAATGATAATTTTGAAATAATAAATTCTATTTTGATGTAAATAATCTGGCTGAGGTACATGCCATATTTTTAATAATGGTATACTATAGACCCATATACTTAATAATTGAACGAGTGTTATGGTGAATGGAAACGGAAATTCATTCAATAATGCTTTAACAATTATATTTCCAAATGCGCTCGCACTATACCACACAATACATAAAGAGATTATTTGACATACCTCATAAGCAATGGATAATGAGTCTTTTTTAACCATATCTTTTAATTAGTTTAACAAACATGCTCTACATCGAAATGAAGATGTTGTATAGGCTATAAGAGAACATATGGATGATGTAAATAAATAAACAATAATTGACATCTAAAATAGGAGAGAAAACAACGACACAATTTTCATATTATATTGATACGAGCTTGAATTTTGTCATTTTATCAAATAAAACAAAATGATCAACTGCACGAAACAATTAAGTATTTCCACATACACACACCCGCTGTTTTTTTTCCGTTTCAAACGATAATCGAATGTCATCGTAATTACAGATTTTCCTTCATTTTAATGTCACGTTCTTTACCTTGAATTATACACCTTTTGCGTTCGATCGGTTCGTTGTAAAAACAAACAGATGTTCTTAGTCTATCTATTTTCACGGATATGTGTGTAAGATGATAAAATGTTATAAATAAGTGTTTGTGGATATTTTGTAAATGAATCTTCAGTTTTAACTAGCCTAGCAAAAGGTGATGAGCTCTGGAATTTGTCTCGTTCTTGCTTCTACTAGTATTATTTTATCGCTTCTTTAGAATATTGGACACAGGGCTGTCGCGACCAGTCAGACTTTGGGTGATCCTCCACTGAGACAAGCCTTTTATTTCCGAAGAATGCAAGAAAATTATTTTTTTCCACTGGGAAAAATCGATGGTTTTCTATTGGGAGGGGGGGTCGCCGTGTGATCTATGCATTACTAAAAAGTGTGTTCTTCTTCTTCGATCAAATGTACGATGAAACAAAGAAGTAAAATGATTCGAAAATTAAGATATCAAGAGCATAAAACAGAGTTAGCATCAGAAATTGTTTAGTCAAATACAGGTATGATATTAGATGGATTTGCTGTGTTTCGACCTTGTCACTATGCTAGAGAACCAAAGTAGAGAGAGGTCATTCCACGAAACTTTCCCTCAGTTCTGTTTTTCAAAGACATTCTTTCTATAGGAAGCAAAGCCTGGCTTTTCTCTCGATAAATAATGGTTATCCATTACCGTCACTCAGTAGGATCTTAGAATTTTCACCACCGTTTACCTTTTACATTTTCCATAAAATATAAAGAAAAAAGAGTGTTGACCATTAGCATATTTCGTTTTTTAACAAATAAGTTCATTGAGTAAAAGTTTTGAATTTGAGTAAGAGTCAATGACTAAAATTTTATTTAAAAAGCAGCACGAGGCGATTAATTATGTAAAGATTATTAACAGAAGCACGAAATGAAATATTCCATAATTAGATCCAAAATTTTCATACGCTGATATGATACATTCAAAAAACCGAAAAAAGTACACAAAACAAACGTCTTTTTATACTAAGGTGTAGAAGATGTTTTCGCACTAACCGTCAATTTTTCCATTTAACATGGCCGTCTTGGAATTTAAAATAAACGAACTTTGATTCGTCAAGGATGGAATCACCGATTTGTCATAAATTTTGAGGAACTGTAATATTTTATACAAGCTATCGCTGGTAAAAAAATCTACTTCTGTCAAGTTTATGCTGAAACTTTATTATTCGTGAAACAGCACTGAATTATGCAGAAACCTATTGTATTCGACAGATATTGATCTAATATTCGTTATTTATTCTGCAATGTTGTCATGTTACACATTATTAGATTGAAGGCTAGTCGTTTCGAAATTTCGTGTTAGCTGTCAATTGACGGCTAGAGCGGATATCATAACAAATCGCGTAACGCACCATAATAACCACCACATTGCTTAATATTTCTCGATTAGTCTAAATTTGAACTAATGAAAAATATCATGAAACCTCTATCCTGCAGGAAATCATACCATGCGCGGGACAAGGGCGAGGAAAGACGTTACTGCGACTCTGCTGAAGTCTGTTATCAAGTAAACACCGAATACCGATAACTGCCAATGACCTTGTCCTTAATAGAGAAAATGGTCAGAACTGGCTATAAATCCATAAATCTCTACTGTCGCGATAAAAGTTCCAAATTTCGCGTTGATAGTAGAGATTTATGAATGCCTAATTTTGACCAGAGAAAATAGCTAAAAAAACTTTCCAGCGTTCATCGTTGGTTAGTTAGACTATTTAGCCAACTAAGCCAAATTGTGCTGACTGTGCAAAATTGTCTGCTTTGGTGCCACTCTCAATGCGAGTTTATAAGTACCCGATGAATATGATGCAGTAAAACCCTTGAGATACTTATGAAATAGGAACGCATACGATATTCTCAGAATATAACAACGCCTATGACCACTGTTTGTTAAAATGTAAGTTCAAAGTAACAAGATCAAACTGAATATAATTCATTTTTGGCCAGTTCAATATCTTGTGAACCTTTCATCATATTCATCGGGATACTCATAAACTCGCATTGAGTGCCCAGGTAAAATTGATCTTACAAGATCATACAAGATCTGTCATTTTCTTATGAAATCTTGTGACAAGACCTTCCCTAGTCGAGACTCCCACGGGACTCCCGTCACGAGATCCTGCCGGGAGTCAGATGGGACTTTCAGGGGACTCCTAAGAACTCTCGTGGGACTTTGAGGACTTTCGGGGGACTCCCACAGGACTCGAAAGTCCTGAAAATTTCACAAGAGTCCCCAACCAGTCCTCAGGAATCCCTTGAAAGTCCCACCTGATTCACACAGGATCTCGTGACAGGAGTCCCGTGGGACTTTTGTCGTGGGAGTCTCGACTAGGGTTACTGCATAGTCCTGCGAGATCGTTTACGATCATGCGGATCTTGTAACTTCCTGTCATACGATCTCACAACATCAGCTAACATGATCATAAGACGTAACATGGTCATAAAAGGTCTTCTGACAAAAAATCGCATTAACTTGTAAAATCTTGTCAGCAAGAATGTTAATTCATTCTTACCACATACATTCTGCTACGATATCTAGTATATATACAACATCATTCTTATAACGGGTCCTATCGTAGTGAATGTACTTGCTGATAGGTACCCAACCCCACCCATGGGGAAATTCTATCGACTTTTCACGCGTGAGGGACCGTGAAATGTCAGCTTGGACTTTCATGAAATTTTGTAGTTAAAGGCAGCAAGTTTCACGACAGTTTGGTCGTGTTGTTACTACACCACACTCGTGGCTATGCGTGAAAAATCTTCATACGTGTACACAAGTGAACAATCTTCACGCGTGATTACGTGTGAAAAAATCTTGACCATGCCGACCATCTATAGTCAACTGGCTATACATGGTCACCATGGTCAAGGTATAATGCAGATTTCATCAATGCAACTTCATCTATAACTTTTTCCACGTGTGACCACTAGTTTCTAAAATATCACATTTTATATATATCACCGCAAAGTAAGAGTCGAACCAGTCGAAGGTACTTTGAATTAGAAATCTACGATACTACTACTGAGCTAACTTGCCTGAGAAACTACTGAATAAATCTCATATTCATAGTTGTCGAATCAATCTTCACGAGTTACCACGTGTAAAAAAGTTACCACGCGTGATTACTCGTGAACTTCCTAAATCTTTTTTCTTAGTTTCCAACTTTTCCAAACTTTTTTAGTTAATACTTCCTCCCGGGAAACAAGATGATTCCCAGGCATATTCCTACAGCAAATACCTTCGGTCCACAGCAAAGGTTTCCATCTGTATGTATGTACAACTTTCGGAAGATATAGGAGAAATTTGTATTTATGCTTGCCGCTCAATCTTCACGACATGTCGCACCTGTAAAAGGTTTCTCACGTGGACGTGCGTGAAACGTAAGAATTTTGTCGCTTGGGGTTAAGCGTGAATATTATTCACGAAATGGGTTGCGTGAAAAACTGACGTGCGAGTAAATGTGAAGATATTTTTCACAATGAAATTAGTAGGAAACATTTTCACGCGTGTCCGCAAGTGATATTTTTTTACGGAAATTTTAACATGAGAAATTCACGTGTGGCCACTACACGCTTCACGACTTCCACCTGTGATCACGTGCAAAAAATATGACGCGAAACGTTTTCGTGACCAGTTCACCCGTTGTCACAAGTGGAATATATTTTTCACGCGTGCTCACACACCATTTTACGATGTTCACGTGCGACCACAATTCATTTCACGATATTCACGCGTGTACACACCGCGGTACCTACTAAAATTTCCCCATGGGTAGTCGAGGCTCCCGGCAAAACTCCTGCAGGAATCAGGAGGGATTTCTCAGGACTCCCGTGAGACTCCTGTGGAACTTTCGAGTCCTACGAAAGTCCTCAGAATCCTCAAAGTCCCAAGGGAGTCCTCAGGAGTTCTGAGAAATCCCTTGAAGTCCCACCTGACTCCCGCAGGACCCCAGGACAGGAGTCTCGTGGGAGTTTTGTCGGGAGTCTAGACTAGGGAAGTACTTGCATTTTTATTAGGTACGTATACTAGATGAAGGTCATAGATGTTTCGATGTTTTTCAGGTGAATATTACTTGAGAGGCACCCAATTACTTACGCTGGACGCAGCATGGGTACTAAGTTTCTTTTTCGTGAGCTGTTTTGTGAGAGTTTAGACATATATAAAAAAATATATATACTTACAAGAATGACGTGCGTTTTTATCTTCGCACAATCACCCAAAATGGCTGGCCGTTTAGGTACCCGCTAAGTAATATTTTACTTGCAAAGCACCTATAACATTCTTGTAGCAGGGTACGTAACTCAGGTACCTATGTTCAAGTAAATTCACTAGGGTAAGAACATAAGAGTCTTGGAATGTTAGGATTATCAAAAACAGAGTGGAGAGGGATTCTGTAGATGAGGATCAGGCACATAATCCTGTAAGACCTGATGGAGTCTTATAAGATCTTAAAAACTTGTAAGATGTTACCACCACTTCTTGTACGATCATAAAAGATCTTGCAAGATCCTATGAAATCTTGTAAGATCGTGCAATATAACCTGGCTATCTACTAAGAAAAACTGATTAAGTCTAAATCCATACATTTTTGCTTATTTTTAGCTTTGATATGAAACGATGTATTTGTTCTTTGCTTCAGTCGTCGAAACCTCTTAATCTACAATCGAATTTGACACTACAGCAACAGCTGATAATTATATTCTTTGTTCAGACACATATTATTGATCAACCAAAAGTTTCGTTGATTTCTTACTGTACATCACCATTGCATTACAAATATCAATTAATCAAATCTTGTATCATAAAGCACGAATGTCGAGCGTAATGTTCAACTATTATTTGAATTCAGTACTATTTGTTTTTTTTATAATGATGTGTGTGATATGTTTATATTCATGAGTGATTATCGGCTACTCATTAGAGCACGACTCACAACAATTTCTTTTATCATTTGAATTAAAATAAGTAAAAGATTCTTATTTACCTATTACTAAACTGATCAACTGATCAATATTTAGAAAAATTTTAAAAAGTAGTGTAATAATAAAAGTAAGAGAACAAAATGCATATTCCTATGGTCTGATTGTACATGTTTGTATTTTCTCGTCTAACATTCATTGTAGCTGATGTTCAAAAATCGTCACGATAGTAACAATAAGCATTGCAATATCGTCGTTAACCAATCAGATTTGTGTAATTCTCTTAAGCCATAAATAATTTTTAAACAGTTTAATTCAACATTAATTTCTATTTAGTTAAATCGAAGTTCATTAAAATAACGAAGTAAACTGACAATTGACGTTTGATATGTTGTTGTTGTTCTAACAACACGACTTCGATCAGCTCGTTCAAAATTTGATTTAACAACTTCATAATATTCGCCATCAGACAATACTAATGATTGTAATTTAGTACAACGAATTCTAAGATAAATATATAATAGGATTATATTGTATTTATAACTTTTTTAATTCATTTAACTTACCTAACATGATCAATAAATTTACTACTATTTTCATTCCATCTTAATGTTTCTTCATCCCATTGGATTTCTAAACGTTCTAATTTTTGACACTCAGTTGCGCATGCTTCCAATATCTGATCAACATGAATTCTTGTCGAGATTTTTTTAAACCATCCATTTGATGTGCCCATGACTATTATTCTAAAAAAAAGACAGAACAAACAATGAATTCACTATTTAGACATAACACTTTTGTTAATTATTTTCATATAGTTTTTACAGAAGGAAAATTAAAAGAAGATAAAACTTACTTAATGTGCTTCATATGTTTGATGGTATTTGTCCAAAACTGTTCAGTTACTTTTGGATTTCCTGCATAACAAATTCCTTGAAGATGTCTTGCATGATGTTTTAATAATGTGAAAACGACTTCGAAATTTAAATTTACTGTATTACTTAAATCAAGAGCGCGTGCATTCGATAATTTTCCTTGATCAATCAATAATTCTAATACCTAAAGTAATAATTACTTTATTTATTTTGAATATTACATATAATATATGAGTATGTATACTAACTTTGTCTGTAAAACCATCACAATTTGGCACGGCTAAATAATTCAATTTTGGTAAACGAGAAAATAAATCTAATAAACATCCTTCAGTCAGTTCGGTTGACGATATATCAAGTTCATTAATGTATGATGATTCCCATTCAGCCGATAAAATACCACTATCTTCGATACCTTAATATATAAATTTATTATTATTTATGATTTTTTCTAATAATTAGTATAAACGTAGTTTTTAGAAGGTAAAAATTATATCAAATGTTGAACAGTAGAAATAAGTATGTATACTTGAAATAATACGAATACTTGCCTGTATTTTGTAAAAGAAGACACTGTATCTTTTTACATCGTTGTAAGAGACTTTTGAAACTTCCTCCTTTCAATCGTGTACAAAAATTTAATGCCAAACATTCAAGATGTATGCAACCAGACGCTATTATTTCAATATGATTATCGTCGATAAAATAGATTCCATAAAAATTAACAACCTTTAAATAGAAAAATAAAATCCACAAACGATTTAAAATGAAGAGCAAGAAAAGTTTTTTGTTCAAGACTAACGCGTAAATTCGGTGTATGAGTTTTTATTTTGCTAATGTTAATCGTTTCATATATTTCTTCTTCTGGTTCGTTTGACTTTTCAATTGTTCCTATGAAAGTAAAACAATTTAAATACATATAATTTCTACATAATCTCTCTTATTGTATACCTATAACATGCAATATTTCCAATGATGATAAATAAGTATAAATTCGTCTCATGAAACCTTCTAAGAAAATCACTTCTGATAGACAAATACATAACATTTTTAAATTACATGGAAATACATTGAGATCATTAAAATCGTGTAGTTGCATGGCTGTTGAAAAATCTAATGTCATATATTTTAAATTTGGACATCGATTGGCGAGTTCATGTAAAACATCGGCTGTTATTAATTCCATTGGTAATTCAATATATTGTAGAGATAATGCAAATCGATGACCAACCAATATTAAGAATTGATCAATATTTTTCACATGTAATCCATGATATTCTGGACGTAAAAGTACCGTTTTCCATAATTTGCTATTTTGTGTTAATTGTCTCCAAAAGCGACATACACGTGCACAACGAATCAATTCTTGATGGGGTAAAAATGAAAATATATAGAGTAATACTTTTTCCGGTAATGAATTAAGTTCACGCTAAAATAGAAATAAACATTTTATTTTTGAAATAAAAACGTATATACCCCTATCTGCTTTTCTATAATTGCATAATGCAATTGTTTGATTAGGACGTTGCTCCATCATATAGTAAATGATAAGTTAACTTTCTTATATGACAAAAACAATAATATTTCTAACACTGTACAAGTAAATATGATATGTGTACAGAATATGTAGTTTTCACATTAACAGCTCGTGTTTTATTTATTTCCACAAAAAGATAATGTTGACAAGTGCTGTTACTCTTAACACATGAGATGTCATTTTTGATAATTAACTCTTACGATTACAACATTCATCATGTCATAGTACAAATTTCTCACCTGTAATACTCCATGCTGTGGCATAAAACTAGCCCGTTTTTTAAGTCCAATTGTACTGTCCATTGCCGAAAATTTTCTGAAGTGTTTAAACAAATTTCTTTCGTTATATAATAATATCGTATAGTCTCATTAAAGTACAATATAACCAATAAACAGCATCAAAATGCCTTTAACAGACACGAAAATCCTATTATCGTTCCATTTGTTATTTATTATTATCGTTATTATTGTTATATTAAAGAGTTCTTTCTATTTTTGTCACGATCTAGTTCATGTATCAAAGAAGAAATACAAATTATTCCTATGGATCGTATATTATTTCTTCCATAATAATATTGTATGAAAATCTCAAAGATACATTTACACAACATGCATATGGAAATTTTCAGACTCGAGAAACTATATTTTCAGAGATTTTTTATGGTTAGTTACTTGAGAGATTAGTTTTATCAAGCTGACATTTGTCTGACATTTCGATTAGCGCAGCAATAACCATAACAAGAAGAGAAGAAAAGAAAGAGAATAGCTTTTAGTTTACCATTGATATACTGTTTCTTCCAACTAAAGACGGTATAATATTGTCTATACGTTGTTTATAATATACCGTCTGTCAATATATCGTTAAATACTGATTTTTACAGTATGTCATGTTCAGCGAAATTTTGTCATTGTAAACATGTTCAATCAGTGTGATATTATAAACCACTCATGCTTTAGGTAACAAAATTAATGTCAGAGTGACAGAAAAACCTATACAGACTTTATAAAAAATTGTATAATTAATAAATGTGTTAGATGTAAAAGAGAGAAAGAACTGTACACGCCTTACTATACCATTAGATTGGACTAAGAAAATTATCGTTTGCTAGGAAAAATGTTTAACAGAAAAGAGACAGATATGTCGGTTCTGTATTCATAAAAAACCTTCATCTTCCACTGTGTAATAACATATAATATACATCCGAGTACATGTAAGACAAAATTTCGCAGACATGTAACCTAATTGATTGTTGTATCTTGAGAAAGAGTTTTATCTGGAATTTACTTGAACAAATCCATAATAATCTTCAATAATGTATAAAAAGAAGTCGGATAATGCAAACTGATTTATCGTATAAATAGGACTATTTATGCTTAAAAGAAAGTTTTACATTACTATATATAAATACTAACGTTTATCTACGATTCAATGAACCGCTGACTCAAAGAATGTCTGAACGTAGTTGAAAGTGTCTGCAGTAATATTTTTATACTAAAAATTTACAAATGAGAATGAGTAAATAACTGAATAAGACCAGAAAATGGAAATGTTTCAGAAAGAAACTTTCTAGTGTCTGAGGGTGATTTAATTGACCGTTAACGGTCAAACGCTCACGCAGGGAAGGAGTGCTGATAATAGTGCTGCAGTGCTAACAAAAGACTAGAAAAATTAAAAAAAGTGAACATATTTTGGCATTATTTTCTTAGGTAATCAGTCCAAAGTATGGAGATCTGGTAAATATCATCAAAATGGTCCAGTAATGATAAGAAAACGGTCTGGGAGCGGTCTATAAAAAGACCGTTTCTTTAATATAAAATGTTCCAAAAACGACTCGATTTAAACGATGTAAAAAGCCCTGACGTTAACAATACTATTCGCATTATCCGGTCCCCTCCACAGAATACAAGAACATGGCCTTCTATTATGTCCCAGCGGATCAAACATTCTAGGCTGGTCTTCTAATCCGATCTTCCAACCAAAATTTTCTAAAAGTTTTCGAAATTTGTAAAAAGTGATTTTCTTAAAAGTGATTTTCGGAGTGATATACAATCACTTCTGAGCAAAAGAAACCCGTGTACGAGCACAAAAATTATATGTCCGCCTGCCATGCGAAAAATGCGCACTGTGACGGCCTGTTCATCAACATCAATCATGGGAGTCAGTACACTTCTCTATGTTCGATGTTTAGGATTATTCGATAGAAGAGATAATTAAGAAAGAATAGTCATACTCTCTACTTCTGTAACAACGCGCTGCTGCGAAAATTCCAAGAGCCCAAGACCGAAAATATGCATAATTTCACGGTTTCTAGAAGTCAAATGTTCAAAAGTTTTCGAAAAAAGTGGCGTGGTCGTATTAGAAGGCTATGGCATTCTAATATGGATTTTGCAGAATTGCAAAATTGGTGATCGATTGGGTGTAACGACAAGAAAATTAGAATACACGCAAAAACTTTGAAGAGATATTCAAACGATATTTCTGTTCTTATTTTATATAGGACATAGAAACGATTTTGATCATAATACAGATTGTTCACCGAATCCTTATCCTCACTCTTTATACTATACATAGTTAATTACTATACTCTAATACAACGCCCACAGTTTGTGGTTAATTATCTTACAACCGACTATATACGCTGTTAAGTATCACATGACTACTATATAATATTACTCCTGAATAAAGTTAAAGAAAATATTGTCAATGTTAATGGAAAAAAGTCAGAAAGGAATAGACTATGAGAGTTTGAGCCATCTCTATAGTTTGGAGCCAACAGGGAAAAGGCGGCTCCGAGACCCTTGCGGAGCACTTGAAATGCTTTCCGAAGCTTGAGATGCGAAGCATCCGATACTGAGCGATACTAAGAAAGAAAAAGGTCACCTTCTCCCTCTTGGTTTGAGTGAAGAGCCGTTCGTCACTTCACATAAGAAAGCAATGTCTTCTTTATGAATAGCTCGCCGAGTGTAAGATAAGTGTTATTTTGAATAGCATTTCAATTTAAGATAAAATGTTAAAGAAAACAGTAATGCTTCAAGTAATATAAAGCTTGAGAACAAGGATACAGGTGAACGCATTTTATTTATCGATACTCGTTCACCTTTTCCAGATGGATTCGTTAAAGAATCGATTATCAGATAAAGTAAGACCGAATGTTCTAAATCTAAGCACCGGAGATGCTCTGATAGTTTCATAAAATAGACTGAGCTTATAAATTATTCGTTCAATCGTAACCATGCACTTAAAAAGTTGCCTTCCAATTTGGATAAGACATACGAAAACGTTTGCCAGAACGTTTGTCTGGTATTGACGTATACTTCTCTATTTTGTAAACACTTTAGAAACAATGTTTGATACCAAGATATACTCAACATCGACGAATTTTATTTTCATCATCAGCAATAACCATCCAAAATAATAATCAGTTACAAAAGTTACAAGAACAAAAAAAAACACAACCCTTCTTTCACATATAACTAAAAAATAGCTCCTTATTGATACAAAGAAAACCTAAACAAAAATAATAATGCATCAGATAGTAGAAACTTTGCGGTTTATATTCCAAATTAGAACAAACAATTTTTTCGATCAATAACATTATTTACAAAAACCAAAAAGCTGAAACTCACCTTTTTAGATATTTCGAGCTGTAAAAAACTGATTGATATCCTATCAAATTCGCTTTTTCTATCTGATAAACAAACATTGTTTAGTGAGCCAAACAACAAAGATCAGAACACAAATGAGACATAGATCACTAAGAATGAGAGGTTGGAGCGTGAGTTTTTGTTCCATGTTTGAGAACATAATGAGATGTTGGAAGAATTCGTGCAAGAAAATCCAGCTGATGTGTTTGAAACTAAACAATGAAATGAAAAAGAAATAGCAACGCTCTTTTAGTCGAAAAATATGTTAAGAGTACTTACTGCTGGCCTATCTGGCATTATTCGTCTTTCATGTTCTGATCCATAGATGACAGTATTTTCGGGTAATATTTCGTTTGTCATTAACGAACATTTTGCCCCAATAACACAACCATTCGTTAATGTAATATTTCTCCCAACTCGAGCTAATTAAAATAAGATATTTTATTGGCCTTTCCCACTGCTGTTACGTTTAACAAATTTACCTTTGCACTCAAGAATATTATTATCTCCAACTTTCAATGCTTCGCAATCTAAAATAAATAGAAACGTAGAAGAATAGCTCATTTTAATCTGCAATTGAAAATTACGTGATCCAACTTCAAACACATTGTTGTTTCCAATGATCATAACAATTTGATTCATTTGATCTTTGTCGGCATTCGGAGGAAATCTAAATTATGTATATAATGTATAATTATAAACAATCAGTTGAACCAATTTTACCTGTTTGCAATGACACATTGTTCTTCGATTAAGTTACCTTCACCAATATAAATTGGACCAGCTTCCGCTATAATACTCACACTTGGATGTAATACCGTCTTAGTGCCTATCGAAATTTCTCCGACCAACTGTAAACGTTCTTCACAAACAAATGTGCCAGGAGCTATTGTGACATTATATCTAAGAGTAAAATAGAACTAAGAAGTCCGTCATGAGTTGATAACTTGCAAATAAACCATTACCCCAAGTTACTCGACATTTTTATCTAAAACTAAAAGGTGAAATTGAATTGTTTCAGTAGGAATTTATTTAAGGAATAAAATGACAGTTTTCTAGCAAACATATCCTGTAGCAGAGTACGAAGATGCAGATGATATAATGTTTATTTAGATTACAGCAGTAACAGCTGTATGATGGTGAGTTATAAGCCGCCAAACTATCCAATCTAAAAATAATACTTGTAATGCCATCTACTTACTATTGCGGCTTTTGAAGTTTTTATGAATAGTACAAACTGCAGTGTCAAAGACCAATTTAGCGACTATTGAGGGGGAAAAAATCTCTGACTGGTACTCCAGTGGCATTCTGTCATTAATAGGATAATTAGATTAACTTTTATTGGTTGATTATTCAGTGGAAAACTCACTATATATTTTTACCGTAAAGCACAACACTGACCCGGAACGTCACGCTAAAAGTGTATGAGTTTTATAAAAGCTTGAGATCATGTCTGTGAGCGTCACATTTTTAATTTTATATTCTTACATATTTAATGTAGCACTGTCAAATTGTACTTATTACACGTTTGATGCAACAGTGTCGTATTAATCTTAACTTAATCGTAGCAAAGAAAAACTGCTTTTTTTCTTTGTTTTCTTATAAATCGTCGCTGTGTCATGAAATACCACTGTTGTTTACAGTTTTATTTAGAAAAGGTAGACTATGATTTCCATTCTAAACCAGTCCGTTATTCGTCTTGAAAGACGATATGGACTGTGGCAAAGTGACTTTTACATTCTATTTTCAGCTGGAAAATGTGACGGTAAACTGTAGAAATCCAATTTGCTTGTAATTCTCATTAGAAACACTGGATTTATGCTTGACGTTTCCTAGAATGACTTTTCGATAAATTACAGCTTAAAACTTAATTGAGATAGTAGTAATAAGTAAGAGTCGATTCATTTTGACATCATATAAATCTCGAAAACATTTGTTTACAAACGAGAGGCTTTGTTAAACAAATTGCTTCTTCCATTAAGATCCTCTTTTATTGATTCTCTTAAATGTCACTTTTTGGTTACACTACTTTCTACGAGAATTTTTAACTCATTCTAAGAAATCGATCAGGCATCTTCAGCACATTTTCATCATCGATATTTGAATTTTCTCGAAGATTTTACTCTTTAGATTTATTATCGTACCTATTTAAAACAAGTATGAAAAAGAAAAATAAGAGCCTTCTCATACAATAACTGTCGATCGACAGAGTTAATTATTTTTTTGTAGTAAAATAATGAAATGCTATCATTTTTTAAAATCATCCAGAATTTTCCTCTACGTATAATATCTAAGTACTTCATTACGGGCGGACTAGCGATGAATCACGTTAGCATGTTTTATCACTAATTTTTATTCTTTATGTTTTCTTTACACTTTGTTTTCCAAATTTTTTGTTTACTGCGTAGAACGTATTATAAGTTAAAAAAAAAAATTCTGGTTACATAAGAAAGAAAGTGAGAGTAAAACCAAACAACTCTGTTTAACAGACTTGTAGCGAATTAAAAATACAGTAATATGAACAAGATAATCGCATCAAGCTAAATGGCACACATTTATCATCACTAAGTCATAGACAATAACATTTCTTATTCTAACGTCAAAATATCAGACTTTCTATCACAAACTTTTCACATTTTTTTAATCATTTTATAAGGGCATAAAAAAATCATGTTTTTTGTTTTTTAATTTTGTTATTGAATCTAAAGTATATTTCGTTTAGATTCAGCGACTATTGATATGTGTAATAATAACAGTTTTTACGTATTCTTATACAATTTGAGATTTTTTGACTTATTATTGTTCGTCTATTCACATTGAATTCCAGAAGGAGTTGTGTTTTTTCTTTATATATATATATATATATATACATTTTTTTTTATTTAATCGATCTACATCAAGTTTGACTTTTGTCAAGCGAGGATGGACAGAAGTAATACATCTATTTTTTTTTTCGCCATCAATTGCCTTAGGTAAGTTTAAATTTGTTTTTTCGTTCATGACAGATCTATTTATTGATCCTATATCAAAAGATGAAAAAAAAGAAAAAAAAATATTCAATAATTTGATTACTCAGAAAGTTTTTTTTGTCAATTAAAAAGAATTAACTAAATTTGAAACACGAAAATGAAAGCGACAGATACGTTAAGAATATATTTATAAACTCTATTTTTTTTTGTGTGTCTGTTAAAAATATTTAATTTCATTTTGTCAATTAGATATCATTGACAGTATTAAATTTTTTTCTTTTTTCGTCTTTCTCACAAATATAAGAGTAAAAATAATATATTCAGTTTCAACATAGGGATAGCGTTCGTGTTCGTGACCTATAGGATAAAAATATAAAAAAAAAAGAGGGGAAAAAAGAGCATACATACATTTTTACTCATAATTGACTATGTCATAATCGCTTATTTAACATTGAATTGGTCTTACAATTTCCTTTTTCATCGGAAATTGTCTCGTTTAAACGATAAACATATTGAATACTACCCAGATTGGTTGTGTCTAAACTTTCAGCTTCTAAAGAAAATCAACTTAATGAACTTCTGTTTTCGATTACAGTTTAAAAAAGAAGAAGAGAAAGGAAATTGTAAGAACTTGAACATATTAATATTTTCAAAAACAAATAATTGACATTCTATGAACTAAGAAGAAAATAAAAGCATTTATTTTTTTTTTTCTTTCTCATTTTTGATCATATGACAAAATGATATTGTTTCTATTTAGTTCAGTACATTTTTATCTTTTCTTTTAACCTTTGTATCAACTGAAGAACATCTGTTGCTTTCATGTTCTCATCTTATTTTTGTTGATATATTCTTAAATATGGAAACAAAAACTAATTATAAAAAAAAAATACAATTTTACTATTTTAGATATTTTATCATTCTCAAAAACAACAAAAAAAGAGAAAAGGATTTATTACTCTAAAAATTCGTGTATGGTGCTTTTATGTTATTGCTATAATTTGAGTTTATAGTCTTAGCTTGTTGTATATGTTGCCCCATGTCTATTATTCAACTTAAAAAAAAAACTATTTTCATTATTATTTATTGTGAGTATACGAGAAATTTATTTGAATATTATTATTGGACTATTTTTATTATTGAATTTAAATTAGATCAGTTATTACCGATCAGACAGGTAATTATGTCTTTGTATTTATTTTCTTCATCTTGATATTTTATCGTTATTCATTGATTCATAGAGAACACCATTAGAATGAACCATTCTGACTTTTAAGGCTGTAATTCATTTACCGTCCGTCAACTTTCTACAATAATTCTGTTTTCGTTTGTGTATAATGGAAAATGTGAACAATAGGCATGTTGCATACGCTACTTCCTTAATGGTTGATCCGATTTTGATGAAAACTGCTCTTTCTTTAGGCTAAACTGAAAAAATTTAAAAACGATTGAAAGTAAGAATTTGATAGACTCAATTTTTCCTGAAAAATCCTGAACCTTTTAAAAATATTTTGAATCGCTTATTGTCCTCATAAATGTACGTATAACGTACGTTTGCATAAAAATATACGTAGTCCCATATTGTTTGTTACTAACGCGCCAGATGTTTTTCACTAGTTTTCAATATCGTTTCTCTTATAGTGAGAGCTTTTTAGCTAAAAGAACAACGAATGCATAATGAATTATGGGATGTTTCATTCAGTATGATACAAATTTGACTGTCCATTACACTGATCATACTCCTTTTTAATAACAACCGGTTCTCTTATTCTGAATAGAGAAATTCTATTGAATTTTGATTAGTGTTTTATTTGAAATTTAGAATGTTGTTTTCACTTTAATTCGATGTTATTGTCCCCATTCGATAATAATGTATAGATTTTTTCGTTTTCGTTATGCACTGATACGTTATATGGTATTCTGGATGATATTTTTATCACTTATTAAATTTTCTACATTGTACTACTATAATCATATTCAACGTTCATCATCCTCATCAATAATGACAAAAGTAGTATTTCCGGAAGATAATAATAATGATACAGTAGAATCGCAAACATTTATTGATTCTTCATCATCATTATCTACAAAAAAATTATCAATAAATCGTACATCTATATTATTATTAAGGAAGTATGCTGAAATGAAAAATAATGAACAATATTTCTATAATGAACATCTATATAAGAGTGATACACGTTATGTTCTATTAGTACAAGTACATACAAGATTTAGTTATTTAAATATGTTCATAAATACGTTAAAACATGTCGTAAATATAAATAGTACGCTAATAGTTTTTAGTCACGATTATATTGATACAAAAATAAATAATCTTGTTAAAAATATTACATTTGCACCGGTAAGAATAATCGATTTTCTATTCTTACAAATCATATCCTAAATTATTGATAGATATCATTTTTTATATTTTAGGTAATTCAGATATTTTATCCATTTTCTCAACAATTGTATCCCGATGAGTTTCCTGGATTAGATCCACATGATTGTCCCCGTGATTTACCCAAACACAAGTATGTTATTAATGACAATATATATTTTTTGCTCTTATTATGAGAGTAAGCAAACGTAATAAATATCCTATTCGTTTTAAGTTTATTGTTTAACAATATGACGACAAATAGGAGGTAAGGCTTTTTGTTACTATTAAAGTGACAAAGCTGCACTAATAACAAATAAAAAAACACCGACATTTCTAACATATTTGTTTCGCTAGATTTACCACTTTTCCTCTTTCGTAATTTGTATTCACTCTACACTATTAAATTCATATTCTCTAATATTTTTCTATTTAGAGCATTACTCACTCGTTGTAACAATGGTAATTTTCCAGATAAATATGGTCACTATAGAGAAAGTAATATTGTTCAAATAAAACATCATTGGTGGTGGAAGGTAAACACGAAATATTTAATTTTTTCATGTGATTGTTATATAATAATGGATGCGCTTTTAGCTCAATTATGTATTTAATTTTCTTCGAGTACTCCGAAATCGTACGGATCATTTAGTTTTATTATTAGAAGAGGATTTTTATTTATCACCCGATGCTCTTGTATTTTTACAAAAAATGGAAAGTGAAAAATCAAAGTAAGAGAAGAAAAGTTTTCTTGAAATTCTATCACTAAAATTTTTTCTTTTCACTTTTTTCGTAGACTTTGTCCAGATTGTATATTTTATACGCTAGGTAATTTAGAAAAATCTGGTAAACAGTTTGATCATCTTGGTGGAAAGGTAAAGTACAACTATTTTTTTGTTTGTTTACCTCTTTTTTTATGATTTATTTTGATTTTAGGTGTCTATTGCGTACTGGCACGCTCGTTACAATCTTGGCATGACTATTTCATACAATTTTTGGTTACTTTTATCTAAATATGCTGAAGAATTTTGTACCATTGATGATTATAATTGGGATTGGAGTCTTGTTTATCTTGCACAACAACGATTCAATTATCCAAAAGTTTTATTATCATCAGCCACGAGACTTATTCATCTTGGATCATGGTATGCACTTTACATTACTATGAGTTCTTGACATCTCAATCAGTTGAAAATATTGATTTATCCATCACTCAATCTTTCATTTTGTCCTTGAATAAAAACAACATATTTTTATACTTTATTATATTTCTTGTCTGTTTTTTAGTGGTACACATCATAAAAAAACATGTGGTGATAGTACATCAGATGTTGAAAAAAAATGGAATGAAACATCACAACTTTATACTAATAATTTAAAATATCTTTTTCCTACATCATTACAAGTACATTTACGTTATGAAGGCAAAAGACCGTTTAAACAAGTGAATGGTGGATGGGGAGACTTAAGAGATAGACAGTTGTGTTTAAGTTTTGCATATAAAGATGAAAGTATTCAAAAAATTAGATCTTTAATGACAACTATGAGCTAGCAGAGCTTTCATACATTCCATCTTTTCTTATCTATTACGAACGAGTTACATATCTCTTTGTGCAATAATAATTCGGCATAACGCGCAATCTTTTTTCGTTATCGTTTTTGTTTTAGTGTTACCATTTCTATTCTGTATTTTTTTTTTCTTCGATGTACTCATTCGATGTACTCATGTTGATGTTGTGACATTTCACTCATAGTTTGTTTGGTTGGTTATTTATGAATGTTAAAAATACATATATTTTCAATATCACTTTTTTTTGTATGATTTTCATGACAGATAAATTTTCATGTAAAAGAAACTTCAGTTAATCAGATTTCTCAGGGCACTGCTCTAGACACAACTTCTCTTACGAGATTTTGTCTGAAGAGTTTTGTAATATAATGAATAAAATCTTACTATCAGTGAATTTGTCAGAAAATTCATAACAAATCTATACAAATGTGAAAATAACAGCTGCTGTTATTCTCATATTTATATTGGAAATATTACCCGTCAACAGGTTAAATATAACAAATCTAGATGTCTAAAAAAAAACTGATTCTGCACTTACAAGATATAAAATGATAGGGATTCGGAAAGTGGATACTTCAGACTACACATCGGTGCGTTTAACAAAAATCGACTTTTGGTCAAGACAAAGTAGATTTTTTTAAGTTGTGATGCCCTCAAAAGAGCAATTAACAACGCCAATTACTCTTTACTCATGGTCAGATATTGAATTTAATTGAGTTGAGAATATTTGTTGGGACCACTAAAGCAAACACAGTTTAGGTGACTTGTCTTACTTTTAATTAAGAAAGATCATCCATCCGGAATCCGGTTTTCCTATACGCGTATAATTTTCTTTTTTTGTTTGTTTGTGTGTGTTCTGTTAACTGTTTTTATGTAGTTGTTATTCGTTTATTATTTTTTACTATAAAATTTTCTTTTGTGATGTAACTGCTAGTCTACTTCTGTTACGGAAGTTTGTTTTCCTCTCTACATTCAACAACTTGCCTTTTCCTACAAACTATTTCGGTATATTATTTTTCTCTTTATCGCATTCTTCTATGGGAATTTATTCTTATTAGGCAAACAGTGATTTAAATCTTTGTTTTTCATTTTAACTTATGCATATTAACCAATCTTTACATGCGAAAATTGTTATCATTATAGACTTGTTTGTTGATAACTATGCTTTTTTTTAAATATTTATGATAAAGTATATGAATAAGGCAATTAAAACCGTACTTATTTCAGACGCATATTGTTTGTTTGATAATTGAAATGTAAGCAAATGGAAAAAATGTGCTTATTTCTTGCACTTTTTTAATTATTAAGAAAAGATATTCATTGAATGAGAGTAGTGGAACTAACGAAGGATTAAACAGGTTTTTTTTAAATTTAATATTATCACTAAAATATACATCCTGTTAGATTAGTTAAAATGTATTGTTGTTCTTTATCTTACAGTCATTTTCTCATGAGTCAGTCATTCTCCTTTGTTTGAAAAATGATAGAGGTATTATCTATCTCATTAGCTGAATATAGTTCTATCAAAGACAAATGACATCGTTTTTGACAAAAGCTCTTCGAATATTAACAATTGTCAAAGTTATCTGATTTAACTCAGAATCTTGTTCACACACACCGAAAATGCCTAAGGGAATTTGTGTATCTTTATGAATGTTAAAAATCCAAGAAAAAGTAAATATTCTCGATATAATAAATCGTAAATATTAATTGAAAGAATGGTATCGTAAGGTACAATGTCCATGTTGACTTATATTATTCTGGTCATATATTACATTCCAGATTTATTTTGCTGTTTGATCGTATATTGTTGTTAAAACATGGTAAGAGGTTTATTGCAACATATAATGACATCTTGAAACTTTTCATTTCACTTTCTTTCGTTAGGTGCGTAGTTGGTATATGGACAATAAACTTGATGATCCGCAAGATCCACATATCGGTGAAGAAATAGATACAAAACAAATGTGTGATCGAACAGGCGTAGAATATTGGTATTTTCATCCGGATCATATTCAAACTGAACATTCATCATTAGAAAAATTAAAAAATGATCGCCATTATTCATATGAGGATGAAGTAACGGTACAACCAACAATGGAAAATTATGAAAAAAAATTAGAAACATTTTTTAACGAACGTAAGACAATATATTGCAAAAGAAAAAGAACGATTAAAGAAGAATTGTTTATTATTTTAGATCTTCATTCGGATGAAGAAATCAGATTAGTTCTCGAAGGTTCAGGATATTTCGACTGTCGAGACTTTGATGATCGGTGGATTCGAATCAATGTGTTTCCAGGTGATTTACTTATTTTACCCGCAGGTAAGAGGAACGATGATCATGACTAGAATTTTGTCTGACTTCATGGTTGAACTATATTGTATTTATATTTCAGGCATCTATCATCGTTTTATTCCCGATAAAAACAACTATATAAGAGCAAAACGTTTTTTCGTTGGTGAACCGGTTTGGTTACCAATAAATCGTCCGGCTGATGATCACCCTGCTCGAAAAACATATCTAGAAGAAAAAGTAGTTCGATATCGAAATGGTAATCAAATCGTTGTTACTGGTGATTCAATCTCTTAAGTACCTTATTTTATTGTTTTCCGTTCGTCTGACTAGTCATTACGAATGTTGCACATTTTTGGTTTTAGTGCTTTTTTTTTTAATCTTACTTGAAACTGCTTAGAAAGAAAGCACATATTTACATCTTTGAGCATGATATTTATCAATTTTTACAGTATAAAACACCCTTTTTTTCTTTTTTCGTTTTGTCTTTTTTACATACTTATCAATAAACTATAGCTTATAAAAAATACAGTGTACAGTGGACAAGGATTTTTTAGAGAACGGAATTAGGGCTAAAAAGAGAACGGTTGCCTATTTATGGTCAAATTTGGAGTGATTAGAGAACGGTCAGAATTATAAAACGGAAAAACCGAAAAGAGAACGAAATTAGTGCTGAAAAGCGAACGGTTATATGTTCGAATAGTGAATTATTATCTATATATATCTTACATTACCTACAACAAAAATATTGTACAAAGAAATGCAAATATATATGATATTTCAAAAAAGTAGAGCAAGATTAGATTTTTTTGGTCCTAAAGGCATACGATCTTTTGAGATTACATGATAGCCAAAAGCAATTGCAAGTTCAACTGTATGTTTACAAACGTATTCTTTGCAAAAGCACGAATAACAGTTTTGTTGAACCGAAACTATGTGAGCAGATTCATACCATATCTTAAAATGATTGAATGATGAAAATGCATTGCTACCAAAACAATTAATCCACTCTTGGATACTCATTATTGGATATGATGTAGGAACAACCGTTTCAAAAATATTCCATGGAATTGGAGTTGCATATTTGATAACATCTTGAGACCATTTTAGTGCTAATGTTTCTAATTCTTTACTTATAACGACATTTTGCGAAAACCTAGCCAAAGTCAATTTTTCAGACCAATCTATCAGCATTCTCTTTATTGTCGATAAAAAAACGGACAGTGGCAATATACGTCGTAATGTATAATGCATTTTTACTTTGCCGTTTATACTTTCAAGCTTAAAATCTAGATACTTTATTTTCTAATATTAATTCATTAAGTTTAGTTTCCGTATTACAAATTCGCAGTGGTAGCCATTGTCTGCGCATCATTTTGTTTAGTATATAGTTCTGTTACTGTTTACACATCGATGTGTAAATATGAAGAAGCGTGCGTATGAAAAATTCTACCTTAGAACCGTACACATACAGTGAAAAAATATCTTTCCATACCGTTCTCTTTTCAGTCCCGTTCTCTAAACAGTGTAAAAATTTAATAATTCGCATTTTGTTCTCTATTCAGTCCAAACTCCATTCTCTTTTCAGACTTTTTCCGTGCACAGTAGTGCATAAATGTCTGCAGAATAAACAGAATCGAATTTATTTCACTACGCGTTGAAAGGTTCTTTTAGAAACATTGACTAAAAGTTTGCTTGTAACCTGGAGTTAACTATTAGCTGTGAAGTTTCTACATGTTTCTAATGATTCGAGATTCAGATTAACAATATTGAACGAATATGCGAACAAGTGATTCTGTTACGAGTTCAGATCGATGGTTTTAACGGAAAAGTCTGATTAAAATTATGATTATAAAAGAATGTATTGTCAAAAGTAAAGTTCAAAATACTCTTCCTGATAATTTATTCAATTACATTGAAAATATACACCGTGACGTTTCAAACACATAGGTGTTCGTCTGATGAAGAACACCTATGTGTTTGAAACGTCACGGTGTATATTTTCAATGTAATTGAATAAATTATCAGG